AGCCTGATATGAGGATGTGTGTGCTAGATTGTGCATGTGTGTCATTGTATAAGTGTGAGTGTTTTAAGTGAGAGTTTGCATGTGTGTGATAGTGGTGATCAGAGTGAGCGTGTGTGTAAGCATGTGCAGGTTTGTGTATGGGAGTATGTGCTTGTGTGTGATTGAGTGAGAATGTGATCAGTGACCATAATTCCATCAGTTTTAAAATAGCTAAGGAAAAGGATAGGTCTGGTCCACAAGTTAAAGGTCCAAATTGGGGTAAGGCCAATTTTGATGGTATTAGACTGGAGCTTTCAAAAGTTGATTGGGGGAGGCTGTTCACAGGCAAAGGGACAACTCACTTTTAAAAGTGAGTTATTGACTGTTCAGGGTCAGCATGTTCATATTAGAGTGAAGGGTAAGGCTGGCAGGAGTAGGAAACCCTGGTTGGTGAGTTATTGAAGTCAAGAAAAAGTGGGAGGCATATGACATGTATAGGAATTAGTGAGTTCCTTGAGAAGTATAGAGAGTGTTGGAGTACTCTTGCGAGAGAAATCAGGAGGGCTAAAAGGGGACATATGATAGCTTTGGCAGATAAGGTAATGGAGAATCCAAAGAGATTCTACAGGTATGTGAAGAGTAACTAGGGAGAGAATAGATCCTCTTAAAGATCAACAAGGTTGCTTATGTATGGAGCCACAAGAGCTGGTTGAGACCCTAATGAATATTTCTCATCAGTATATATCATCGAGAAAGGTATGGATACTAGAGAACTTGAGGAAATAAATAGTGAAGTCTTCAACAGTCCACTTTACAGAAGAGAAGGTGCTGGAAGCCTTAAAATGCATGAAGGTAGATAAATCCTCAGGACCTAATGAAGTGTATCCAAAGACTTTGTGGGAGGCAGGGCCCCTAGCAGAGAAATTTATATTATTAACAGCCACGGGTGAAGTGCCTGAAGATTTGAGGCTGGCTAATGGTTTGCCATTATTTAAGAAAGGCTACAAGGAAATGCCTGAGAACTACAGACTGGTGAACCTAACATCTGTGGTGGGTGAGTTATTAGAAGCAATTCTAAGGATCTACTGGCATTTGGAGAGGCAAGGACTCATTTGGGACAGTCAGAATGGCTTTGTGCATGGGACTTTTTTACCTGGAACATAGAAGACTGAGGGGTGACCTTATAGAGCTCTGTAAAATCATGAGAGGCTTGGATAAGGTAGATAGCCAACAGCTTTTGCCTATGGCACGGAGTCTAAAACTAGACAGCATAGGTTTAAGGTGAGATAGGAGAAGTACAAGAGAATCCAGAGGGGCACTTTTTTCCTTCACACTGAGTTTGGAACAGGCTGCCACAGATATTGGTGGAAGAGAGCATAATTTGTCATTTAAGAAACATTTGGACAGGTATATGGATGGGATAGGTATTGAGGGATATGGATCAAATGCAAACAAAAAGGATTACTTTAATTGTGAAAACTAGGCAGCGTGGACAAGTTGGGCTGAAGGGCCTATTTCCATACTGTGAACGTCTATGATTCAATGTGTTAGTGAGAATGTGTGAGATGAGTGTGTGAAGATAGAGAGTGTGTGTGAGAGAGAGCGTGGGTGTTAGTCTGTGCATGTCTAATTGTGAAAGTGGAGAGGTTGGCAGTGAGTGTGTGTGTGTGTGTCACAGTGGGAGTGAGTGTTTAGGGGAGAGTGTGAGTGAAAGATTATGAGAGTGAGAGTCTGTGGATGAGTGCAAGATAGGAGTGCAAGATACAAGTGTTAGTATGTGCATTCATGTGTGCATGTGGAACCGTCTGTGAGGGAGTGTTAGTGTAATTGTGAGAGAGCATGTGTGAGAAATTGAGAGTGCGCATGAGTGTGAGAGAGAGGGAGTCTGTGTGAGTGTATGTGTGACAGAGAATGTGTGTGAAGTGATTGAGTATGAGTCATAGAGTAATACAGCGTGAAAACAAACACTTTGGTCCCACCACGCCAAACACGTTTCCAAACTAAAATAATCCCACTTGCCTGTGCTTGGCCCATTTCCCTGCAAACCTTTCCTACACATGGTGTATCTGCATCCGCCACTTTCTCTAGCATTTCATTCCACACACAAATCATTCTGTGTGTAGAAATGTTGCTCCTCATGTCCTTCTTAAATCTTTCTCCTGTCACCTTATAAGTTGGCCCTTAGTTTTGAACTCTTCCATCCTAGGGAAAAGACCTCTGCCATTCATTTTATCTATGTCTCTCATGATTTTATTAAAATCAATAATGTCACCCCTCAACCTCCTACGCTCCAGTGAAAGAAGTCCCAGCCTTTTCAGTCTATTTTTAAATCTCAAACCCGCCATCCTTGGCGATATCCTGAAACATCTTTTTTGAACCCTCTTCAGTGTAATTATAATCTTCCTATAACAGCGTAACCAAACTGGACTCAGTACTCTAAAAGAGGCCTCACCAATGTCCCGAACAATCTCAACATGACATCCAACTCCTATACTCAAAGGTCGAAGCAATGAAGGCAAGCGTGCTAAATGCAATCTTGACCACCCTATTACTGATGCAAATTTTAGGGAATTATGTACCTGAACCCCAGGATTAATTAGGAGATGTTAATCAGTGGAACATTTCAGACACTGAACTGTAGAATTTTCACCAAAGATCAACAGGGCTCTACCATTAATTGTATAAATCCTGTCCTTGTTTGCATTACGAAAATGCAGTACCTCACAATTATCCAAATTAGACTCTATCTGCCACTCCTCAGCCCATTGACCCAATTGATCAACATCTCTTTGTAATCTTAGGTAACCTTCTTCACTGTCCACCATACCACCAACCTTGGTATCAGCTGCAAACTTACTAATCACTCCTTCTATATCCTCATCCAAAACATTTATATAACGTATCGGCTATTGATTGGGGCAGCACAGTGGCTCAGTGGTTAGCCCTGCTGCTGAGGTTGATTCCAGTCCTTGAGCAATTGTCTGTGTGGAGTTTGCACATTCTCACCATGTCTGCATGGGTTTCCTCCAGGTACTCTTGTTTCCTCCCACAGTCCAAAGATGTGCGGGTTAGGTGGATTGGCTATGCTCTATTGCCCATAGTGTCCAGGGATGTGCAGGTTATGTGGGTTAGCCATGAGAAATGTAGGGTTATAGGGTGGAAAGGGGTGTAGGTTTCGATGGAATGCTCTTCAGAGGGTTGGTTTCGACTTGATGAGCCAATGGCCTGTTTCCACACAGTAGGGATTCTATGACTGAGTGATCGATTTAAAGTCCTCTTGGAGGACTGGGTGATTGATGTGTTGAGGGATTGATCATCCCCTTGGAGGACCAGGAAGCAGATGTAAGGGAACAGGGAAAATTGTGGAACAAAATCTCTCCACAGATGCTGAGCTTTTACAGCAATTTCTGTTTTTTTGTTTCTGACTTCCAGAATTAACAATTCTTACGATTTTTATTTAGGGAAAAATGTGGAGCTTATGCAATGACATGAGGAGGCCAGCAGAGGGTGGCATTGTATCACTTGAAACACCAGAAGGACAGAGAGAGAGAGAGAGAGAGAGAGAGATAGACAGACAGACAGACAGACAGAGACTGAGAGTTTGATTCATCACGTTTTAACTCATTCATTCAAACTGTGTCCAATTGCAGGCAGAGCTGGTCACATGCACGTATGCACACACAAAGAGGCCAAAAACACTTTTCATACACACAGACTGAAACACACAGACACACATTCAAACTTCCCTCCAGGACAAAGTATGTTCTATTGCAGGAAGAGCTCGTCACATAAAAATAGAGACTTAGACACACACAGAGACAGAAACACACATCTACAGACTCAGAAACACACGAAGATAAACACAGACACATGTAGATGCACACAGACTTACAAACATTCACAGACACATCCATAATCTGCGATACATCTAGAATATTAAACTCAATAGGGTTTATAAAGATAGGTAGAAATAAGCAAATGTTGTCATAAATGATTGAACTCAGCAACTTCCAAACACTCCTGGTCCTATAGGTGCCAATTAATAAAAGGTTTGCTGTGATTGTATCTCTGTCAAGAATCCTTGTAATAAAATGAAGGATAACAGATGATACATTTGAAAAGGGACACTGCTGATCCAAAAATTAAGATTAATCAGAGATGTTAATCAGTGGAACATTTCAGACATTGAACAGTAGAATTTTCACCAAAGATCAATTTAGGATTGAAGTAAATGTTCATAATTTTATTTCAATTGCATCACTGTCAAGATTTCTTGCAATAAAAGGTAAAATAACAGATGATATGTTCAAACAGGTACACATTTGATCTAAAATCAGTGATATGTCTAGAATATTAAACTGGGCAGGGTTTTTAAAGATCAATAGAAACAAGCAAATTTTGTCAAACTATTATAGAATCATAGAGCTGCACAGCATGAAAACAGACCTTTCCGTCCAACTCACCCATGCCAACCACATATCCTAAATTAATCTAGTTCCATTTGCCAGTATTTGGCCCATATCCCTCTAAACCCTTCCTCTTCGTATACCCATTCAGATGCCTTTTAAATGTTGTCATTGTACCAGCCTCCACCACCTCCTCTGGCAGTTCATTCCATATACATACCATCCTCTGCATGAAAAAGTTGCCCCTTAGGTCCCTTTTAACTCTTGCCCCTCTCATCTTAAGCCTATGCCCTCTAGATTTGGGCTCCCTACCCTGGGGGAAAAGACCTTGGCTATTCACTCTATCCATGCCTCTCATAATTTTATAAACTTCTATAAGGTTACCCTTCATCCTCCAATGTTCCAAGGAGAAAAGCCCTAGCCTATTCGACCTCACCCTATAGTTCAAACCCTCCAACCTTGGCAAATTCCTTCTAAATCTTTTCTGAACCCTTTTAAATTTCACAACAACCTTCCTATAGCAGGGAGATCAGAAGTGAATGCAATCAATCCTGGATGTGACTAACAGCAGCAACAACAGCACAATCCACCATCTGCAGTTACATATGAACTTACTGGTGTGTCAGTCGATAGCAGGACTGAATGAATCCTTTTCCAACATACCACAGGTGAATACTCTCTCTCCGGTGTGAGCATGTTCATGGACCTGCAGGCTGTCGGACTGATTGAATCCCTTCCTGCACACAAAGCAGGTGAACAGCCTCTTCCCCAGTGTGAGTGCACTGGTGTGTAGTGAGGGTGGATGACTCCCTGAACATCTTCCCACAGGAATTGCAGTCGAAGAGCTTCTCCTAGGTGTGAATGTGTTGGTGTTGCAGAAGGCTGGAGGAATTCCTTCTCACTCACAGAGCAAGTGAATGGCTTTCGCCCTGTATGACCATGTTCGTGGGCCCTGAGGTCCGCTGAACTCTTGAACCTCTTTGCACAGCGGGTGCAGCCAAACAGTTTATCTCCGGTGTGAGTTCGCTGATATGCCAGGAGGGTGGATGGCTGACTGAATCCTTTCCCACACATGGAACGGCCTCTCCCAGGTGAGAACTCACTGGTGTACACTGAGCTCAGATGACTATCGGAACCTCTTATCACAGTGAATGCAGCTGAACCTCCTCTCCTCGGTGTGAATCTGCTGGTGTGACCAAAGGCCGGAGGAATGAGTGAATCCCTTTCTGCACACAGAGTAGGTAAATGGCTTTTCCCGGTGTGAAGTCACTGGTGTGAAGTGAGGATGACAACTGCTTGAATCTCTTCTCGCAGTGAGTGCAACTGAACAGTCTCGCCTTGGTGTGAATTTGTTGGTAAAACATGAGCCAAGATGATTTAGTGAACCCTTTCCCGCACACAGAGCGGATGAACAGCTTCTCCCCAGTGTGGCTGCATCAGTGGTTTTCCAGCAGGGATGGATAATTAAATTCTTTACTGCAGTCCTCACATTTCCACAGTTTCTTCGTGGTGCCACAGTCCTCTTGTTTCTCCAGGTTGAATGAGCAATTGAAGATCATCCACACACAGGACACATCAACTGCTTCTCCAGCTGGCAACACTGTAATGTTCCTTCGAGCTGTCCAACCCAGTTCAAAGTCTTCCCACAGTCAGTGGAACACTCTCAGCTCAATGTGCTTCCAGTGAGGTTCATGTTTGTAATCTTCTCCCACAGAAAACCATTTGTCCTTACTCATTCAAAGGCCAATCATATCAAGGTTCTGACAAGTAGTTCTCTCTGATCTTGACATGAGATTTGGTTTGGGTCTCCTGTCTGCACATCATCCCCTTACAGTTTCCAGGAGAAAGGTATTTACAAAAGGTATCACTGTAAGTGAAAGACGGAAATATTAAAACATAGAATTCAATCATCCTTTAGCTCTCTTGCTCCCAGCCCAAGTCCCCAAGACTTCTCCTCCACTCTGGGCCAAAATTTAAACCCATGTCACACTCTCCTCCCCACTCCCAGTGTTCCTTTCCTCCACTCCCAATTTTCTCCTTCCCTCCCCCTCTGTCTAGGGTAGGTAGTCAAAGTCATACAGCACCAAAACTAACCCTTCGATCCAACTCATCCACATCAACCAGACATCCCATCTGACCTTGTCCCATTTGCCAGTATTTGGCCCATATCCCTCTAAACCCTTCCTATTCATATACCCATCCAGATGCCTTTTAAATGGTGTCAATGTACCCACCTCCACCACTTCTCCTGGTAGTTTGTTGCATACACGCACCACCCTCTGCATGAAAGTTACTCCTCTGGTCCATATTAAATCTTTCCCCTTGCAGCTGAAACCTATGCCCTCTAATTTTGGACTCCCTTGCCCTGAGAAAAAGACCTTGGCTATTCACTTTATCCATGCGCCTCCCCCTATCGCGCCCTTCCCCCCACCCCAATGATTTTATAAACTTCTAGTTCTCCAGCTCCAGGCTGAGAACCAAATCATTGATTCAAGGGGCAGCGAGCGTTTGTGACTAATCTTCCCTGCCCACCTTCCTTCCTCACCAGAGATCAGTTACCTTTCCCCAAAGTGAAAGCTCTTGTCTGTTACCACAATCCTCCATTCCCTGAAGCAGGATGATGGCTTCTCCGTCCGGGTCACTTCCCAGAAGAAACGATGAAACCCCACAGCTGCAGACTCGGGAGCTGCCCATTCTGCAGGCTGTGTACCTCCACATATATATACACATACACACAGTTTGCGAACCGTTTCTTTAAAGCCGCCGCTGACCAGCTGCAAATGCAACCAGAAGGTCCAGTGGTGATACTCACTGCGCATGTGCAGCTTCACGCAAGCGCACTGTGTCTTACAGTGCAAAAGATAGCGAACCTTCCTCACCCCGATGAACGATGGGTATAGACGCTGCCATTGAAAGACCCGTGCTGGCCATGATTACACATTTGTTTTGACACTGTAGAGATACGTGTCGGAGAATCAATCAATAAAATTAGGCACAGATTCTACAAAGACACAAGTACACAATCCACCAAAAAGGAGAGATTTCAGAATTAATGAAGGAGTCCCACATAGATCAAGAATTATAGCCGGAAGTACCCTGGTAGTCAGATGTTAGCTCAGTGATGCCCCAGAAAGTGGGCTGATTTAGGGAATCTTTTCTGTCAGCAACTGTGGAGATCATGTTCTTATAGATACTCCAGGGCACGTATTTTACTTCTGCTGGTACATGAGGAAAGAGCAGGAAATTTTTGGGACACATCCCCTTTTTAATTCATTACAGGGTGTAGTTATTACTGGCAAGACCACTATTATTGCCATCCCCAAATGTCCTTGAAAAGATTAAGATGAAATCATTTTAGTGCTACTTGCTGTTATGCATTTGAATTGTAGATTTTCCAAGTGACTTGCACACCACCACAGCAGACAACTATGAATCAATCATTTTGCTGTGGCTGTGGAGGTCATAGTGAGGTTAGAATATCAGTTTCCTTTCTGAAAGAAAGTCACCTACAGCAATCCAGCAGCATTTAATTCCACATCTATTTAATTAGCTGGACTTAAATTGTCTTACTACTGCACTGGAATATGAATTCACAAGTCTGGCTTTAATTCCAGTCTTTTGGATTACTAATACAATAATATAACCACTTGCTACTATTCCCTCTGTATCTGGAGACAAAATTTCTGTTGTACGATGGTAGCAGCACTTAAAACCATCCTATGAATCTTCCATGTGGTATTTTAATGAAGACTTTAACCAATTATTTTAAATATATTTATGTTAAATGAGTTAACATTTGACTTTAGAAAAGCAATTGTTATACCTCTGCTGGGCAATGCATTCAATTCTGGGATTTACATGTTAGGAAGAATGTCAAGAGGTGAATTTATTTTCATTGGAGTAAAGGTTAAGAGATGTGGCAGAGATGTTTAAAATTATGAATAGTTTTGACAGACTAAATAAAGGAGAAAGTGTTTCCAGAAGCTCCCAGAAAACACAGATTCAAAGGGATTTTCAAGATTTTTTTTTACATAGTATTGTTTTGATCAAAAGTACACTGTCAGGAAAAGTGGTGGAAGTAGATTCTCTCACAGCAGTCCGGGAAAAAAATTCCAAGCTTTGAGTAAAGAGATAAGTGAGACTAACTCAATAACTGTACTAAAGAGCTGGCACAGGCACAATGTGCTGAGTATGTTTATTTTTGTTGCAGTATCACCAGAAGACAATGTTGGATGCATCATGTTGTAAAATATGACCTGCCTCCATTAACATGGACACAATGCCCAGATCTTCTGGATGGTGCTGTGTGATGGCTGCATTCAGTCCTGTTCACTGCTTAGTAAGGTAGTGGAAGGCAAGCAATATTCTGATCTTGTGATCCTATACAATGAATGGGGACAGGGAGGCGGCAGCCATCATTTCTGGCTAATCCAATTGAGAAAAGCACAGCACACGAATAGCACAACAACAACTTGTGGTAAGATAATGACTTGAAGATAGTAAAATATTTGAAACTGCTTCACAAATGCATAATCAGTATAATATTGACATTGAGCTAAAGGAGATGAGAAAGTTCAGGATTCAGAAGTGTGTCCCATGGAAACGACTTCCAAGGTTCACAACTCATTGATGCAGAACAGAAATCTCTTTTATTATTGTACTTCAAATCAGGAAGAAAAATGGTAAATGCTGGAAATGTACTGTCAATGAATTAGTGAAAAAAGTAAAACTGCTCTGTTCCTGTTCAAAAGTCAAAAGTCAAACAACAGGTTTAGGTTTCCAATTTAAAAATGACTATGGTGATTATTCTCGGAAGGTTTAATGTGTTCTGTGACAGTTTTCAATCTACCATTTTGAGGGAGGTGATATTTTGTTTAAAATAAACCTATGGAGAAATACATTGCTTTAAGTCTGCAACTAAATTAGTAAGAGTTAAGAGGAGCCTGTTAGCTGCTGGTACAATTGTACAACAGACATTTGATCTACTAATAGAGAACGGTTTAAAATTCCAGTGATTATGTTACTGAATTAGAAACCCAAACACCAGACTAGTCCACTGGTGACATGAGTTCAAATCCCACCACAGCATCAGGGCATATTAAATTCACTAAAAAGGCTAACCTACAAGGGCACTTTAGCCATTCTTACCTCTCTTCCATAACATCAAAGTGTTGTTTGTACCTCTCAGTGTGATCGTGAAGTTCTGTATACTCCCATCCCCTATTATCCTCCTTGAGCTTTATCTAGGTGAAGTGAAACTGTCCATAAGGTGCAGAAGTCAGCCATTCAGGCAATCAAGTCTTCTCCACCATTCAATGAGATCATGGCTGACCTGATAATCTTCAGCTCCACTTTCCTGCCTTTAACCCATGACCCTTGATGCCCTTACTGACTAAAAGTCTGCCTGTCCCAGACTTGAATATACTTAATGACCCAGGCTCCACAGCCTTCTGTGGTAAAGGATTCTTCAGATTCACTACCCTCTGAAAAATAGAAATTCTTTCTCATCTTTGTCTTAAACAGTGAACCCTTATTCTGAGATTATGACTTCTGCTCTTAAATTCTCCCACTATGGAAAACAACCTTTCCATATCTACCCTATCAAATCTCAGAATCTTCAGTGTTTCAATAAGGTTGCCTCTCATTCTTCTAAACTCCAAGGAGTACAGGCTCAATCCACTCAACCTCAACTCATAAGACAATCCATCCATAACCCAGGATCAACCTTGTGAACATTCTATGGACTACCTCCAATACCAACTTTCCTGAGATAAGGTGATCAAAACTATCTACAGTATTCCAAGTTTGGTCTAATTCAGACCTTGTATAACGTCAGCAAGATTTCCCTATTTTTATACTTCATTTCCTTCAAAATAAAGGCCACATTCTACTTGCCTTCTCTATTAATTGCACATTTTGTGTTATCCTCACCTAGTTTTGTCATCCACAAACTTAGCGATATGGCATACATTTCCCTCATCCAAGCCATTAATATATGCTGTAAATAATTGTGGCTCAAGCACTGGTCCCTGGGGTACTCCATAGGAGACAGCATGCTCTCCGAAAAATGTCCCCTTTTTCCAAACTCTCTTTCTTCTATTAATTAGTATATTAGCATAGATTAAAGGTTAGATATCTCCCAACACGTTGGGCTCTTACATTATTAAGTACGTAATATGTGGTACCTTATGAAATGCCTTCTGGAAATCCAAATATATTGCATTTACTGCTTCCCCCTTTTCTATCCTGCTTGTTACCTTCTCAAAGGCTTATAATATATTTGTCAGGCTTGATTTTCCCTTTGTGAAGTCATGCTGCCTTTGCTGATTTTATTATGTACTTCTAAATACTGAAACTGCTGAAACTTTTATAACTGACTCAAACATTTTCATAATAACAGATATTGAGCTAAATGGCCGAAGGGAACCTGTTTTTTGTCTCCTTCCCTTTCTGAATAAAGATGTTACACTGGTAATTTTCAAATCATTGGGCACTTTGAGCATCTAAGGATTCTTGGAAGTTCACTACCGGTGAATCCTCTATCTCACTGTAGCTACTTCCTTTAATATCCTAGGATGCATTCCATCAAATCCAGGAATCTTGTTGGTATTTAGACCCATTAGTTTCCCTCATTTTCCCTCAATTAATAGACATTAATTTATTTCCTCTCCTTTTTTTTGATTATTTAATATTTTTAGAATGCTGTTAATGTCTCCTACCAAAAGGACAAAACTGAAATGACAAAAAAGAACAAGGTGCTGAAAATAAACTAAATGTGTTTGACCACCTGGATATTAAATACTAGTTCAGTTGTAGGGCTCCAAAGAGCAGCAAGAAACAAACTCCAACTGTCTGAATGAACATGGTTCAGTCCTGGATGTAATTAACAATAGAACTAACAGCGGAATCCAATCCCTGAAGTCATTTATTGTGAACTTGCTGATGAGTCACAAAGTTGGATGAACGAGTAAATCCCTTCCCACACATGGAGCAAGTGAATGGTCTCTCACCAGTGTGAATGTGCTGGTGTCTCAGCAAATTGAATGAATGAGTGAATCCCTTTCCGCATATAGAGCGGATGAATGGCCTCTCCCCCGTGTGAACTCTCTGGTACTCCACCAAACTGGCTGACTGAGTGAATCCCTTCCCGCACACAGAGCAGACAAATGGTCTCTCTCCATTATGAACATCCTGGTGTTTGCGCAAGGTGGATGACTGAGTGAATCCCTTCCCACATTCAAAACAGGTGAATGGCCTCTCTCCAGTGTGCGTGCGGTGGTGCGTCAGCATCTCACTTCTGCTTTTAAAACTCTTCTCACACTCTGGACATTTAAAAGGTCTCTTATCAGTGTGAACACGTTGGTGCATCAGCAGGCTGGATGACTGTGTAAATTGCTTCCCACACATCAAGCAGGGGAATGGCCTCTCCCCGGTGTGAACTCGCATGTGGATGTGGAGTTTGGATAACTCTCTGAATCCCTTCCTGCACACAGCACAGGTGAAAGATCTCTCCCCAGTGTGACTGTGTCTGTGGATTTCCAGCTGGGATGGGTAATTGAATCCCTTCCCACAGTCCCCACATTTGCAGCATTTCTCTCCAATGTGACTGCGTTGATGAGTTTTCACCTTGGACAAATAATTGAACCCCTTCCCACGGCTCCTGCACTTCCACGGTTTCTCCATGGGGTAACTGTATTTCTCCAGGTTTGATGGCTAATTATAAATGCACCCAAACTCTGAACAAGAATAAGCTTTCTCACCACTGTGAATGGGCCAATGCTTTTTCAGGCTGGATAACTGGAGAAGGCTCTTTGCACAGCCAGCTCATTGCAACATTCTCTCTTGGATGCACGTGTCTCAGTATTTTTAGTCATGCTGATGTTTGAAATCTTTTCCCACAGACAGAACAGATAAATATTTCTCCTTCTACATTTGAAAGCTGATGATGTTCAGGCTGTGGTGTATCAAGTGGCTCTCTCAGATCCTGACTTAATATTTAGTTTCAATTTCCACTCTGCATTCCTCCCCTCCTAAAACCTGGAAAAGGAGTGCACAAACAATAGATCAAACCACATTGTTTGATATATTCCACAAAACCTCCAATAAATTACCCATACATTGACTCAGCCTGATTGCGCTGCCATTTCCTAAGTATGCTGCAGTAACCTTCTTAACAACAGACCTTCCGCATTTTCCTCTTGACAGATGTTAAGCTGGAAATGGAAGGGAAAGAGGAAATCGACTAAATGGAAGTGATACTGAATAATTCGTGGGAGCTGAGAACAGACAAGTTCCTAGGTCCTGACGAACTTCAGCCTAGGGTCTTAAAATAAGTGATGAGTGACACAGTTGATGCACTGGCTTTAATTTTCCAAAATTCCGTAAATTCAGAGAAGGTCCAATTGAAGTGGAAAGAAGCAAATGGGAGGGAACACAAAGCAGAAAGCTACAGGCTATTAGCCTAGCATGTGTCACAAAGAAGATGTTAGCAGCTATTAGTAAAGACATTAGAGCACAACACTTAGAAATTTTCATGGAAATCAGGCAGAGTTAACATGGACTTGTGAAATAGAAATAATGTTCAAAAATTTATTGGAGCTCTTTGAGGAAGTAGCATGTTATTTATTCCAGAAAGCAAGTGAAAAAAGGCTAGCAAACAAAGGGATTGTTGATGGTAAGTCAGTGACAATAAGCTAAATAGGGGATAATGGGGTCCAGTTGCAAAATGGATTGACTGTACTGAAAGCAACAGGACATGGGGTTGTGGGTAGGTAATAGAAAAGGAATGGAGTGTTCATGCTCTAAAATAGTTAAACTCGATGTTGAGTTCTGAAAGTGGAAGATGAGGTGTGTTCCTGCAGCTTGTGTTGAACTTTGCTGGAACACTGCACAGTAAAGACAAAATACTGCAGAAATTAAGGGAATGAGTTGTAGCAAGTTGCCAGGATCCAGTGGCCTACATTCTAGGATTTTGAAAATTGAGCTGCATAGAGTGGAATCATTGGTTCCAAACTGCCAGAGATACAGTGCAAATACCGCCCCCAAAATCTGCCTCACCTTCCTCTCCCAAGATGGTGGGCAGCCAGTTTCAAGTCATTCTCTCACCAAGATGACGGCTAGACGCCTGGGTAGCCTTGGCCCTAGCCAGGGAATGGAGCCCCGCCTCTCTGATTCACCCTGACTCCCATTCATAAGATAGCAGTCTGTGAGCCCGCTCAGCAGTGCGTGTCCCCACCTGCAGGGTAAACTCGGGGCTTATGGCTCTTATTCGAGGTCTCAAGCATCCCCTTGGAAGTTGATAAAGTTCCCAGACACCAGTTTCCATTCCTACCCTGGCTCTCAAATCTTCTCCCGCTGCTCAGACTGTCTGCTCCTTCTCAGGTGGTCCCCATGGCAATCATTGAACATGCTCGGAGTTCTGCAGAAGGGTCCCGATCCAAAATGTCAACTTTCCTGTTCCTCTGGTTCTGCCTGGCCTGCCGTGTTCCTCCAACTCCAAATAGATCACAGCAGTTCAGAGGCTATTCAGGCCAAAACAGTCCACCTGACTGACACCCATCTAATCCTTTGAATATTCGTAACCTTCACCACCAACACACAGTGGCAGCAATATGAACCATTTACAAGATGCACTGCAGCAACTCACCAAGAATCCTTTGACAAGGGGAGGCAATGGCCTAGTGGTATTATCACTGGACTATTAATCCAGAGACCCAGATAATGTTCTGGGGACCCAGATTCTAATCCCACCATGGCAAATGGTGGAATTTGAATTCAGTAAATATCTGGAATTAAGAATCTAATGATGACCGTGAATCCATTGCCGATTGTCAGAAAAACCCATCTGGTTCACTAAGGTCCTTTAGGGAAGGAAACTGCCATCCTTACTTGGTCTGGCCTACATGTGACTCCAGACCCACAGCAATGAGGTTGACTCTTAACTGCCCTCTGGACAATAAATGCTGCCTAGCCAGCAACGCCCTCATCTCATGAATGAATAAAGAAAAAAATATATTCCAAACTTCTGGTTCTCTATCATCTAGAAGGCTAAGGCCAAGAAATGCATGGTAACAAATGCATATTGCCCTCCAAGACACACACCATCCTGACATGGAACTATATCATACTTTACTGACTATATTGCATTCACTGTCACCGGGTCAAAAACCTGGAATCCTACACCCTAATGTATGTAAGTCAGAAGTTCAAAGCAGTGGCTCACCACCACCTTCCCAACGGAAATCAGAATGGGAAATAAATGCTACCCTAGTCAATGATGTAGGCATCCTATGAACTAATAGGTAATAGAAAACAATCATAGGATACAGGTGAACAATTAATCAAAAATATTATTGCAATTCAGCAAGTTAAGTAAAAATTAATCACAAATTAATGCAATTTCTTTCAGAGATACAGAATTTAGAAATTGTCAAGTTTTGTTCAATTTTGATAAGATGCTGTGCACTGTTCTGGCCACCATATTATAAAAAAAAACTGGATAAAGTGCAAAAAGGATATGCAAGAATGATGTCAAAACTTAGAGATCGTGGTTATTGGGAAAGATTGATGTGGTGGGGGACTTTATCTTGAGGGAAAAATTCAAGGTGACCAAATGGAGGTCTTTTAAGTTGTGAAAGAGTTCGACAGTGTAGATGTGGAATGAAGGTGTCTATTTGCAGGAGACTCAGAAAGTACACATTTTGAGGTGAAACAGATGGAATGGAATGAGACTCATAAAATATAAAAATCAGAACAGATTCATTTTATTGAATGGTTTCTGAACTCGATATTCTCTGCCATTTCAATTCCCCTGGTACTCAATTTGTATGTTCTGCTTGCACCATTTGTACTATGTATGATGAGATCAGAACACATTGTTACTGAGCTCCTGTAGTCATTCATGAGGCACAGGATTGTAATGTCATCATTGAAAGCTCAATTATAGAGTCATACAGCATGGAAATAGACCCTTCAGTCTAATCAGTCCATGCCAACTATAATCTCAAACTAAATTGGTCCTATCAGCCTGCGCTTGGCCCATATCCCCACAAACCTTTCTTATTAATGTACTTATCCAAATGTCTTCTAAATGCTGTAACTCAACCCACATCCACCACTTCTTCTGCAAGTTCATTCCATACTCGAACCAAAAAGTAAAAAAAAAGTTGCCCTTCATTGTCCTTTTTGAATATTTCTCCTCTCACCTTAAAAATATGCCCCCAGTCTTGAAATGCCACACTCTAGGGAAAAGACACCTGCTATTCACCATATCTATACCCCTCAAAATTTTAAAAACCTCTATAAGGTCATCCCTCAACCTCCTACGCTCCAGTGAAAAAAGTCCCAGCCTATCCAGCCTCTGCCCATAACTCAAACATTCCATTCCTGGCAACATCCCGGTAAATCTTTTCTGAACCCTATCCACCTTGATAATACCTTTCCTATAACAGGGTGATCAGAACTGGACACGGTATTCCAGAAGGGGCCTCACCAACATTCTGTGCAACTTTAACATGACTTCCCAACTCCTATACTCAAAGGACTGAGCAATGAAGGCAAGCATGCTAAATGCCTTCTTAACCTGCTGAGCATTTTGTGTCAATACACTGCGATTGGACTGAATGGCCTCTATTTGTCATATAATCCAATACAGCAGAGGTGATTTAATGCTTGTGTCCATACAACTGTTAGATCAACACACCAGCTTATGCAAAACCGCATCATGGATTCTTTCTTACTCACTACCGACTCCATCTGCCCGCATGACCATAGTCTGAGGATTAACCAGACCAAGTTCAACTTTGGTTTCCTATATGAACTTGAGCCAAGCTCCTGCCATGTCCCCTGCATCACTGATCTCTGTAATATTGCTTGTATCTATCCCACTTTAGCCCATTGCTGCTGAAACACTCGTTCATGTCTTTGGTACACCATGATTCAAATATTTAAATGCTGTCCTGGCTGGTTACTCCATCTTCAACCCTCCACACATTTACACTCCTCTAAAAGCCTTCTATCCCATTAGCAGTTGCATGTTAACACCGTCAATAGTTTAGAAGGTGTGCCTCAGTGCTTAAGATAATAATGTGAGATAGGAAAGAAGCTGATGAAAGATCCAAGTTCAGCTTAAAACTGAACATATGTTTGGCCCAGTAGACTAATGGAAAGTAAGGAATCAGCAAAGGCTGAGCAGATGGTCTCAATCTTAGAGACAAAGAAGTCTATGAGCTCCTTGACTTGTTTTTAGAGGAAATACTGGAGGTGACAATGGCAAGGGAAAGATCTTCAAAATGAATAAATTTAGAGAGGTATTAGAAAGACTCAACACGCTATTGTTTAAACACATTGTTTCAGCAGCAATACACTCCAATGAAGTTTCTTCAGTCCTGATTGTGATTTACAGTATGATTCAATCACTGTTGTTACTCGTGAACCCGCTAGTGTCTCAGCATAGCAGAAGTCTGAGCGAATCATTTAATACATTAAAACATTGCAAGACACTTCAAAGGAGTTTCAAAAAACAAATTTTGGGATACTTGGGTAGATGGTCAAAAACTTGATTGGAGGGCAGTTTCGAACAAGCATCTTTAAGAGTGAGAGGTCAAAATATTAGGATGGGAATTTCAGAGTTTTAAACCTAGGTATGACCACCAATGGTGGACGAAACAAAAAAAAAATGCTAAAGGGGCCTGAATGAATACAGCTTTATGTCTCAGAGGGTTGTGGGACTGGAGGTTACTGAGATGGGGAGGAACAAGGCCACAGAGGAATATTGAAACTAGCACGCAAATTTCAAAATAGAGACATTTCTTGACTGATGTAGCTTAGGGTGAATGGAACTAGGCATGAGAAAGCAAAGAAGTAACGGAGTTTTGGACAATCTCAATATTTTGGGTTGATGGGAAAAGCAGGTGAAAGTCTGGCCAAGGAATCCAGAAGTCTTACGGTACAGAAGGAACCCATTCCACAAGATGCACTGCCGAAATTCACTAAGGCTCCTTAGACAGCACCTTCCAAACCCATGATCACTACATCCAAGTAGACAAATATATAGGAACACCACCACCCACAAATACTTCTCAAGCCACTTGCCATCCTGACATGGAAATATGTTGCCATTCTTTCACTGTTGCTTGGCTTAAAATCCTAGAAATTCCTCCCCAGCAGCATTGTGGGTGTACCTGCACCAAACAGACTGCAGTAGTTCTAGGCAGCAACTCTCCACCACCTTCTCCAGAGGAATTAAAATAGGTAATAAATGCTGGCTAGCAACATATCCAGAATTAAGTTCCAGCCAGTTAGAGGGGAGGTTGTTAACAGCAGCAGAAACAAACTGAATACTGTGAGACTATCAACTTTAGATGTGATTAACAGCAACATTAACAGAAGTATTCAACCTCTGCAGTCACTTATGGACTCGCTGTTGCCTCAGCAATTTAGATGACTCAGTGAACGCCTTTTGACACAGAGAGCAGGCGAAGGGTTTCACTCCAGTGTGAGTGCATTGGTGTACCAACAAATTCGAGGACTTTCTGAATCTCTTCCCACACAGAACAAGTGAATAGCTTCTCCCCAGTGTGAACACGCCACATTGAGTCAGATGAAGAACCTCTTCGCACAGGAAGTGCAGCTAAATGGCCTTTCCTCAGTATGAATTCACTTATGTGCCAAGAGGCAGGCAGACTTACTAAATCCCTTCTGGCACACAAAGCAGGCAAATGGTCTCTCCCCAGAATGAACTCGCTGATGTGTGATCAGAGCAGATGACAGTGTGAAACTCTTTTCATAAACAGTACAACTGAACAGTGTTCCCCCATTGTGAATTTGGTGTGACTGAAGGCCAGATAAATGAGTGTATCCCTTTCCAGAGACACAGCAGGTGAACAGTCTCTCTCCAGTTTGAACTTGCTGATGTCTCAGCAAGTTGGATGAAGACCAGAAATTCTTTCCACAGACAGTGCAACAAATTGGCCTGCCCCCAGTGTGAGTTGTTGATGTTGCATAAGGCTGGACGAATCGGAAAATCCTTTCCTACACATGCAACAAATGAATGGCTTCTTCCCAGTGTGGCTGTGTCTATGGTTTTCAGCAGGGACAGTTAATGGAATCTTTTCCTGCAGTCCGCACATTTCCACAGTTTATCCACAGTGTTGGTATCCTTGTGTGTCTCCATGATAACCTCATGCAACACAGAAAGTATGCAGTTTTGTCTCACTGTGAATAGTTGGACTTTCTTCAGTCTGGGTAACGGTTAAAGCTATTTTCACAGTCACTGCAGAACAACACTTTCACTCAGGTACATGTGTGCACTTTCCAGCCACCCAGATACTTGAAATATTTTCCCAGACAAACAGTTCTCTTTTGAAACTCAAAGGTTGCAGATTTTCAGGTCCTGATGAATCTAGTGCCTCAACCAGTGTTTTGAGTTTCAGGAATGAAGTACCTTACCTTACAAAGTCCTGTGAAAGGAGGTTACCGCAAATCATCAAAGTCACTTTAAGTATAGGGTAGGAATTCAGAGTGGACATTCTCGTTTCGGCAGAACATTTCCATCTCTTGCTACAACCAAAGCTGTAAATCCCAGTTCTAAACATGCTCTCCCTCCTTCTGGAGATGAAATCTAAACCCAATGCAACCACTTCCACCAACACTTTCCTCCATCCATAGTTTTCTTTGTTTTTCCCTCTCTTCTGCCTGGGATCAGTTCCTCCAGCTCCCGACTGCAGACTGTAAAAGCACTGAATCTGACTCAAGGGTTGCAGTGTTTTTAAAGAAATTGTTTAGGGGATTAGGGCATTGCTACCTAGGCAAACATTCAGAGCCCAAGCCAGATTGCTCAGTGGGTGGTTAAGAGTCAACCATTTTTCTCTGGGTGTGGAGTCACATGTAGGCCAGACCTAAGTAAGGATAGTATACTTCCTTCATTAGTAAGCATCAGAGCCATAAATAAGAGGAATAAGTAGGCCATTCAGCCCATCGAGCTTTCTCTGCTATTCATTAGGATCATCGCTAATCCAACATTCCTCACATCCACTTTCCTGCTCTTTCGTCATCCCTGTGATTCCCTGACTGATCAAGAATCAATTTCAGCGTTAAATATACACAAGGATTCTGCCTCCACAGCTCTCTGTAGCAAGGAGCTCCAAAGACTCTCAACTTTCTGAGAAAAGAAATTCCTCCTCATCAAAGTCTTACTTTTAAGCCCCTTAATTCTTATGCCCTCTGGTCCAACACTGTCCCCTCGTAGACTGAGAGGAAACACCCTCTCAGCAATTATCCTGTCAAGCCTCTCAAGAAACCTAATGTTTCAATGAGATCGCCACTCATTCTTCTAAATTCCATTGAGTAGAATCCCAGCCTATTTAACCTTTGCTCGTAAGGCAATCCCTCCAGACCAGGGATTATCCTAGAGAACCTCTCTGAACTGCCTCCAATGAAATAATTTCTTTTCTTAAATACAGGGACCAAACTGCTCACAGTACTCTACATTGGTCTCAGCAGCATCTTGTATAGTTGCAGTAAGACTTCCCTACTTTTATACTCTCACCTTTTAGAAATAAGGACCAATGCTGATTATCTGCAGCATCTATGCTAGCTTTCTGTATTTCATGCACAGGTACACCCAAGTCTCACTGCATTGTAGCTTTTTGCGGTTTTTCTCCACTTTCATTAAGCAACATTAGTAAACCAGATGGGTTTTCCAACAATCAGTAATGGTTAAATGGTCATCATTGGGCTAGCTTTTGATTCCAGGTTTTTTATTGAATTCAAATATTGCCATTTGCTATCAAAACCCAGTCCCTAGAACTTTAACCTGGAGTTCCGGATTGCTAAACACCCTGTATACATGTGAAGCAACTGCCAAAGAAGTATGTACTTGAACTCCTAGGTCTCTATGTTTGACAATGTTACCCAGGACCCTACTATTAACTGTATATGTCCTGCCCTTGTTGGTTTTACCAAAATGCAATACCTCACATTTATCCAAATTAAACTCGATCTGCCAGTCCTCAGCCAATTGGCCCAAACCATCAAGATCTCTTTGTAACCTTAGATAACCGTTTTTACTGTCAACTATACCACAAATTTCAGTGTCATCTGCAAACTTACTGACCATGCCTCCTAAATTCTCATCCAAATCATTTATATAAATGACAAACAACATTGGACCTAGCACCAATCCCTGCAGAACACCAGTGGTCACAGGCCTCCAGTTGGAAAAAGGACCCTCCACCACCCTGTCTCCTACCGTCAAGGCAATTTTGCATCCAATTGGCAAGTTCTCCCTGAATCCCAGTGCGATCTAATTTTATGAGTCAGTCGACCATGCAGAATCTTGAAACTTGTTTGGCATGGACGAGCTTGATGGAAGGGTCTGTTTCCATGCTGTATGACACTATGGTCCACTGACATTAAAACATGCCAATACCCAACCCCACAGGATTTCCTTCTTCAACAGAGTTCAGAGGGACTCACATTGTGAAGCATCCTATTTATTATTGCCCCCCCATCTTCCGATGTGAACAATCCCCCACTCTCTGCCCCAGGATGGGAGCATCTCCCCCCAGCCTTTTTCCGGGAGGGTGAAGCCCCTGCGGCTGTAAACCTAGGAGCTGGCGATTTTCTATGCCTCTCCCCCCCCCCCCCGATAACGTGTTATCAACCCCTACAGTATCTGTCACCGCTTACCTGCTGCAGACCGAATATTCGTGCACAAGCGCTGCGCAGTGTGCATTCCGCATTCTCCCCTCCCAGACCAGACAGCCCTGCGCATGCGCATCTAAACTGTTCTCGGGGGGGGGCGGGGTACTGGGAATCCAGTGCGCAGGTGCTAGAGCAGCTGCGCTTTGAGCATGCTCAATGTCACCGATGGGAAGAGCCTGAGGAGGAGCGGAAGCTTCCAGTGGCGAGAGGAGCCTGAGACAGGGTAGGAATAGAAGCCGCGGCGCTGGGACCTAGCAACTTTAACAACTCCTGACGCGCCAAATAAGAGTCCACAGGCCCCGGAGAGCTTAGTGACCACCATCTTGAGAGTGGGTAGTCAGAGCGGATCCGGGTTACCCAGGTAACCGACTATCATCTTGGTGAGGGCATGACCCAGATAACTGGCCGCTCGCCGTCTTGGGAAAGGCGTGAGCGAGATAACCGGCCGCCATCTTAGAATGGTTATAGAGGAGGTGGGATCCATTCAACCCATCGTCTCAATCAACCACCCTCAGGCGAAATTCAAATCCGCTACCTCACCACACCCCCACCACGCCAGCGCATTCCTTCCCTCCTTAAGATATTATGAACATGCAGAAGAGTTCACACAAAAACCAATCAGCCTACCATTTTTGAGCCAAAGTCAAACTTTGTCCACCCCAGTCCAACACCGGCACCTCCACATCACGGCTATCGTTTTTGAGCCAGTCGAAAGTCGAGCCAGTCCGCCTTCTCCCATTTTCCTACGTTTGGTCTGTATCCCTGGAGATAACAGAACTGCATCCATGCACTTTCTAAAATAGTTCAGAGTTTCTACATAAACGTAAGTACAAGAGTTGGCCATTCAATGCTCTGAGCTTACGCTGTTATATAACAAGATCCTGGTTGATCTGATTTTAACCTCAACTCTGCATTCCTGTAATGTACCCCCCATCTGGATAATCTTTCATCCTTTTGATTATCAAAAATCTATACCTCAAGTAGGTCTGTTAGCTGAACGACTGGCTGGTCATGCCAACAGCATAGGTTCAATTCACACACCCAGTTGAAATTACCACAAACGACGTTCCTCCTTGACCACTCCCCTTGGCTAAGGCCTGGTGAACCTCAGGTTAAGCCAGTTGTATGTCTCTAATAACTCCTCTGTGACTATGACAACATTACTTCTCTACCTCTGCTTTAAAAGCCTTTAACAATTCTGTATCCAGTGCCTTTTGAGGAAGGGAATTCCAAAGACATTTGAGCCTGAGGGGGGGGGGGGAAAGATTCCTCAACATTTTTAAATGGACACCCCTTATTTTTAAACTATGACCGCTATTTCTCAATTCTCCCATAAGAGGAATCATCCTTTGCACACCCACACGGTCAAGGCCCCACAGTATTTTGTATGTTTCAATTAAATCAGCTCTGACGTAATGTGGAATGAACTGCCAGAGGAAGTGGTAGATGCAGGTACAGTTACAGGTTTTAACACATTTGGATAAGTACGTGAAGAAGAAAGGTTTACAGGCACATGGACCAAATGCAGGCAAATAGGACTAATTTAGTTTGGGAAAATTGGTCACATGGACGAGTTGGACGGAAGAGTCTGTTTCCGTGCTATATGACCCTTCTAAATGCCAGAGGATACAGGTCTAGACTGTCTGTCTATCTTTTCCACATAAGGCAATCACTCATTCCTGACCTTAGTCTTGTTAACCTTCTCTGAACTGCTTACAGTGTGTTAACATCCTTCTGTAAGTCTGGTGACCAGCATTTTATACAGTACTCCAGATGTGGTCTTACCAATGCCTGTATAACTGAAACATGACCTCTATTCTTGCATTCAATTCCCCTCATAATAAAACATTCAATTAGCTTTCCACCTATATTTAGGGCTATGAGTTCCAGATTCTGACCAGTCTCTGGATCATCTTTACTATAATCCTTCTACCAGTCATTTTAAATCTAGTCATTGATCCCTCTGTGCACCACCATCAAATTTCAGCCTATCCAGTCTTTCCCCAAGGCTGCACTGTTCCAGTCCTGGCAACATATTTGTAAATTTTCACTGCACCCACCCTTCTAGGCCAGAATCACATACAGTGCTCAAGATTTGGAATAATTAATGTTTTATACAACTCAAATGTAACCTACTTGCTCTTTCATTGTATGCTTTGTTATAAGAATTGTACCTTCTTAACCATCTTATCTACCTGTCCTGCTCCTTTCAACAAGAACTGTGATATGCAAATCGGGGGAGGCAATGGCCTGGTGCTGGTATTGCTGGACTGTTAATCTGGAGACCCAGATAATGTTCTGGGGACCCATGTTTGAATCCTGCCACAGCAGATCGTGGAATTTGAATTCAATATTTTAAAAATCTGGAATTAAGAATCTAATGATGACCATGAATCCATTGTCTACTGTCAGAAAAACTCATCTGGTTCACTCATGTCCTTTAAGGAAGGAAACTACCATCATTACCTGGTCTGGCCTACATGTGACTCCAGACCCACAACAATGTGGTTGACTCTGAACTGCCCTCTGGGCAATTAGGGATGGGCAATGAATGCTGCCTAGCCAGTTCGCCCTCATCCCATGAATGAATGAAAAAAAGTCCATATCAAGCTCCCTCACTTTCTCAACCTCTCTTGGTGGCCTCCCATTTATTGTGTATTTCTTGGCTTTGTTTCACCTTTTCAAATGAATCATCTCTCACTTCTCCAGGTGGAATTACATTTACTATTTACTGCCCATCTGACCAGTCCATTGATATCTTCCTGAAGACTATAGTTTCTTTCCTCACTTTCAACTAAATGGAGTTCTTTTTATGTTTTCTGTAAATGTTTTTATCATCCCATTACATAGAAGTCCAAATTGTTAATATGTTCTGCAAACAAGTAGGGGACCTGGTACAGTCACTGGAAACAGTCTTCCAGGCACACACACATCACCTTTTGTTTCCTGCCACTGAGCCAATTTTGTACCCAGAGATAGTAGGAACTGCAGATGCTGGAGAATCCGAGATAACAAGGTGCAGAGCTGGATGAACACAGCAGGCCAAGCAGCATCATAGGAGCAGAAAGGCTGACGTTTCGGGCCTAGACCCTTCATCAGATTTTTGCTTGGCCTGCTGTGTTCATCCAGCTCTGCACCTTGTTGTCTTCAATTTTGTACCCAGTTTGCTACATTCGCCTGCACCTTATGGGCCTTGATTTTTTTTGTTTTACATAGTTTGTCATGTGGACTTTGTCAAAAACCTCACTAAAATTTATGTAAACCGCATCAATCTACTGTATTAACATCTCAAAAAATTCAATTGTTAGTTAGACATGATCTTCCCTTAACAAATTTATGCTAACTGTCCTTAATTATTCTAATACTTTCCAAGTGATAATTTGTCCTGTCTCTCAGAATCGATTCAATAATTTGCCAGCTCTCGAGGGTTAACTCACTGGCCAATAACTATTCGGTCTATCAACCACACTGTTTTTAAACAAAGACCAACTTTAACAGTCCTCCAAGCCTCACACCACACTGGTATTCAGTGAGGATTGGAAAATTATGGTCAGAGCAGCCGTTCTTCCCTAGTTTCTTTCAGTAGTTTGGGGTGCATTTCATCTGGCATTGGTGACTTTTTGCATTTTGAAAGATGATAATCCTATTAATATTTCCCCTGTTTGTTTTTATTACATGAAATACTTCACACTCCTCCTTAACTACAAAAATCTTTAAATATTTTTAAAGCAGAGAAAGATGAATTCTTGATTACTAAAGGGATGAAAGATTATCATGGGTATGCAGGAATGTAGAGTTGAGGTTAGAATCAGATCAGCCATAATCCTATCGAATGGAAGAGTAGCCTCAAAGGGCTGAGTGGGCCTACGCTTGTATCCTATTCGTATCACCAAGTTTTCAGAGGACACAAAAATAAGTGGGAAGGCAAATAGTGAGAATGACCAAGGAGACTACAGACAGATATAGACAGGTTAAGGGAGTGAGCAAAAACTTAGCAGTCAAAATATAATTTGGGAAAATATGGGATTATGCACATTTGCAGGAAGAACCGAGTGTTATTTAATGGAGAGGGCTGCAGCAGAGAGAGATTTGGGATTCCGAGTGCATGAATCACAAAATGTACATCCAGGTTTAATGGAATCATTGAGGACACATGAAAGATGAACCCATGGGATGTGGGAAGTCTGTCTTCACTCTCTCCCTCTGTGTGTATTCTGTGTAATAGGGAAGGCAAATAGAATGTTGGTCCTTATTTGAAAAGGATTAGAGTATAAAAATAGGGATATCTTTTTAAAACTGTACAATACATTATTCAGACCACAATTAGAATACTGTGAACTGTTTTGTACCCCTTCATCTAAGGAAAGGTGTGCTGGTATTGGAAATACGCTGAGTATGAAGGGATTTTCTTAAGAGGAGAGGTTGAAGTTATACTCATTTGGAATTTAGAAGGATGAGAGGAAATCTTCGTGAAATATATACGATTCTTAGGATACTTAACTGGGTAGATGCAGAGAGGTTGTTTTCCCTTGGGAAGAGTCTAGGACCAGAAGGCGTCATCTGGACTGAAAATGTTAGCTTGCTATCCCTCCATGGATGCTACCTGATGTGCTGAGATCTCCAGCAGTTTTTGTTTTCAATATCATCTCAAAGTTGAGAATCACCCTCTTAAGGTAGAGATGATGATCTATTTTTCCTCTTGAGGGTGATGAATCTGTGGAATTTGATATCACAGAGCACTGTCAAGGCTGTTAAGTATATTCAAGACTGAAACAGATTTTTAATCAGTAAGGGAATCAAGGGTTATGGCAATAAGGCAGGAGAGTAGAGTTGAGCATTATCAGATGTCATAGCCATGATCTCATTGAATGGTGGAGTGGGCTTGATGGTCCAAATGGTTTACTTCTGCTCCAACATCATTATGGTCTGTACTTTGTACTTTATAGTTCCTACTCTTCCCATTGTTAAACTCCTACAATTATTGTATTGTTGAAACATCTGTGGGTTCATATTGATTTTGCTTGCCTCTTTCATGCTGTCTCTTTGCTTTCATAATTTCCTTTTGACGTCTTGGTCAGAAACATTCCTTGT